TCAAAGAAATAAACAAAACAGTAGTCATTGTGTTAAGTCATTTCACGTTGCACGTTAAAGCCATTTCAATATTTTGCATTTACATCATGCTACTTTCCTATAAATCCAGTCTTTCTAGAAAACCATTTTCTGTATTTTCTGTAAATCCAGACTTTAAATGACACAGAGGACACAAAAATTTAGCTATCTCTCAGAAGATGCCATTAATTGAAATCACTTGGAATTAACATTGCATACCAGCAAAAAAAAAAGAAACCGTAAAAATCCTGGTTTACTATTAAACTTTTGAACTCAGTCTATCATATCCCTTTGCAGATAAACAGAATTATTTTTGGCCAAGGGATGAAAGTTTGCATTTCATCAGGATTAATTGTATATAGGAAAATTATAGAAACAGAATCAGAATCATCTCATCAAGTGAATCACTGGAACACCTGACACCTCATTATTTTACAGAAAGGGAAAACAGCTGCAGAGTTGTTTGAGGTAAACATAGGAGTCTACTCTAAAAAAATTATTCTTAAATGGTACTACTTAGTTTGCTTCTGCACAGCAACGTTTCCCTGCTGATTGCTTTACTGATTGGAGGAAAAACCTGTAGAAGGGTAAGTCCTAAGACATAAATGGAACAACAGAGAGAAAGACCTTTCTGGAATTCAATTTATATCCCCCCTGCTTCACTTTAATGTGGTGATATGGAGCATCTGCAAACGTGTCAAAAGTACTGTAAGCAGACAGTTTACAAGCCTGGACCATGTAGCTTTCCTAGTGGAAGAAAATGGAGCTTACTTTCCTGTACACAGTAGTAAGAAAAGAAAATAAAAACATCTTAATTGACATTGAATTTTGAAACTTTAAGATACCAGAGAGGGGTGTCACACTACAGGGAGGTGGGAATAAATTAAAGCAGCTTTGTGCTATGATTTTGTTACAGGTCTGTTTGGGGGCTGACTTTGTGATTTCTTTGAAGGGAACAGGTTATCTGCCATAGCCACAAGCCATCCAAAATAGTAATGTGCCCAAGACACCTAAACAGAGACTGTTGTATTAAAAACTAGTGAGTATGGAAATAAAAGGGCAAAGAGAGAAAGGTTATTACACACACAGAGAACTAATGATATCTGTTCCTTGGCACAACGTAAGCAACATACATGCTACTCTCCTTATCTTGGTTAGCCAGAACCTCCCAAATGCATGGACCTTCCCCCATCCCTTTCGCCAGGCGAGATCTGCTGTCACATGTTCACGCTTCCCAGGGCACCACCTTATATCCCTTTTCCCACGATTCTTGTCTTCAAGTGTAAATCAGTGTGAATCAACTTTTCTCAAGCGTGAATCAATGCGAACCAGCAGGCCAGGGACTATACTTCACACTTGGAGCCTTCCCTATGTTCAGCAAAATAATCTGTAAAAACCTGGAGCTGAAGATTTTTTTTTTGCTTATTTTTTTAGGAGATGCCTTCTATGAGAAACCCAAGTATCTCAGAACTCAGGACAGCCAGTAAAAAAATCAACTGCTTTTTATTTAAGAAGTCCCTTGAAATTTAGAGAGAAAAAGTAGGAGAAATTATTCACAGGAGCAATGAAGTTGTTATTCCTTTATCCAACTCTATTCTGCTTCCAAACCACTTCCAATCAACTGGCTAGTGTGCACAATGCAATTAGTGCTACTGAAATATTTATTATATTAAATTTAATGAGAGCAATGGCAGAGTCCGTCAGCTACTTGGTAGACTACCTTCCTGCCCAGTGTCTCTAACAAATTAAATAGTCCTGTATTTACTTCATTTATTTTAATTGTATGTGACACTTTTTGCAGTGCAAACAACTGTATTGCTGATTTTAAAAAAAATAAATCTGTCCTTTACTTACATATTCTTCCTAAGACTTCCAAGGGGCAAACCTTGCTTTTTAACACTGACAGCTTCCACATATGTTAGGAATGTGTTTCCTCAAATGTCCTAAAGCAGGAATGACTTCTGCTTCCTTATTTACCAGAAATTATTAGATAAATAAGATAATGAAGTCACAGAGATACCAGTACAGCTTAAACACAAAACAACTGCAGTGATTTTAAAAGTCATCTTGAATGTACAATGACATTGCAAATTCACACTATTTTAAAACTGCAGGACAATGGCAAAATAGGAGGAATAACACTAATAGGTACTTTTTCCGTGGGTTTTAATACATAACACGTCTAAGCACTACCTTTTCCATTATATTCTTGAACAAATTAAGGCACTGCAAATCTCAGCAACAGCAGCAGCATGTAGTTCCTGATGTACATCGCCTGCTGCAGCTAGTATAGCATCTTCCTACTTTTGGAGAGGCAGTGCTATAAAACTAAGGTCCCAAAATGTGAGTCAACAGTATTAATTTTAAAACATAAAACTGACATATAAAGGTGTAACACTGATTAAAGACCAATTCAAGCGTCCAGTTCAGTCTCGGTATACACAGAATTGACAATGCTGTACCAAAAAGGCACTAATACAACAATTTAATTTCTGTTCCATTCAGGCAACAAGAATAGCAAGGTGAGAAACTGCACCTAGTATCTGCCAGACAAGTGACAGATGAAGCGTACTGCGTTGGAGCCATCCGTGGTGAAACACCTGCAGTAAGAAAGGCGCTACAGCCCCAGGTGTTTTGCAGAAAGTGCCGGGGAAGCCCAAGGGTGAGCCCCACACCAAGGTACAGAACTTTTTAGGACTCCTTGGCTCCCCATGAATCCCTGGCACTGCCACTACAGAAAACAGCAGGGAACCACTTCGTACTTCACAGCATCAATGATGTTACTGGTGATCCTACAATGGTAGTTGAACTACTTATAATCCTAAAATCTTACAACAGAAATAAACGCTCATCTGATCAATACCCTAAGCAGACCTTAACTTCTATCCAACAGTTCAACTGTTTTATACAGAGACAGCCTACAGATGCCAGAGACCTGATAGTCTCTAGTGAAAAAAAGTATCATTTATTCTTTATCAACAGTGTAATGAGAAAGATTAATTTAAAAAATTAATAGTATGTTCTTTTTTTCCTACTGTTGCCTATTTTTTCTCCCCAGCTGTTAGTGGAATGGGATAAACTCATGGTTCAAATATAGCTCATCTCTATGCAGGCCATAGTCATCTGAACTCTGTACAACCCCCATCTCTCTTCGCATTTGGCAGTGCAAACATTCATTTGCATCACCAAACTGATGTTACTTCCCTTTCTGGTACTTGTCTGTTTTTTCCTGCCGCACCAAGTCTCTTCCACTTCCCTAGGCAGTCAGAAATGACAGATAAGGGAATGCAAAGAAATGAAGTGTGAATGTAAAAGGAAATATAATTGGTTCAAGACTCTCTACTGTCTTCAATTTTGTACAGTCATTTACAGCTGTCTGAAGTGTGTGAAACACTGGCACCCAAGTGAGTGAGTAGGCAATTAAGATTTTGTACTCTTTCACAATCATTCTGCACAGATGTGAACTACTGGATACGGTGCGAGACGGCAGCAATACGCTGAGCGTTCTGGCTTGAAGACCGAATCACTCTGCCGAGAAGGATGCTGCTTTTCCCTGACGTGTCTCCGCAGCTCAGTCCTGAAAGATGCTGAACCTCTGGACCTCAATCCAGCAGAAGTGCCTAAGCACTTACTTAACATTGCAAACTCATGCACGTAAATATTTTCATTATTTGCAGCAGGTTATTTTGCAGGCAGGGAAAGCAAGGCCCTGAAACCAGACAAGCTCAGCCTAATATTACTCAAGAAGTCCACTGTTCAGCCAAATGTTTTATGTTTTGACCATAAAACTGGAAACCCTTTAAACTATAATATCAGGCAAGCCAGCATGAAGTTCTGTATTTATGAGACTAAAAACAAGTCAAGGTAAATTGACAGTTATTTTAGAAGCTAAAATTGCTGGCGACACCTAATGCCCACATTATTTGCTAATGAAATGCAAAACTTTTTCCTTAGGTCACAGACTGAAGTTCGACCCCGTCAGAAATTGCTACCGATTGATTACCAGGCTGTAGCAAATTGAATGGTGGGTTTACTTTAGTTTTATAGAGGTGTCTAAAACAGTTACATCCTCTCCTTCAAGCATCAGCACAAAGAGAGGGACTAGGATCGGCAAATGGAGGCTGAATTATGCCCCAGCTTTCAGCATAGGTCAGTGTAAGAAGGGGTGGACTAGGGAGTGCAACTAAGGTAGGAAAACTGTACAGAATGGCTGCAACAACACGAGTAGCTGCAGAGTTGTGCATGGTTGGATAACGTAAAATTATGTTTTAAATCATTAACTAAAAATCATAAATGTATGTTTATAAATATTCACATTTTATTTTTCTTTTGGTCTATTTAGCAGTCCATTCTATTGATATTTTAAAAATCAGATTAAAACAGAATAGTATTCCTGTTCATTTATTCATCTTCAGACTGTGATTATGTAAAATGTTCTTAATGCATTTTAAGAGACTGAACAAAGAAGGAGAGTCATCTTTTTATTTACGGAGTTTGCACTGACTGAAAAATTAAAAGAATTTGTACTGTTTAGAGGAAAGAAGGGCCTAAAGTCTACACATAAATTTAAGAAGTATGCATTAGTACTGCAGTTCTCCAATTAACTGCATTAACTGTAACCATCTAATATGTCTTTTCTAAGCAAACATTTCTTCTGTCTCAATCCAATAAATTCTTAAAGGGTACCAACCGGACCATCCTCAGAAATCATCAGGCATAGGGCTTGTTTGTTTGCCTCTTGTGACAACACATCCCAAAATACAGAGCATATTTCAACTTGTTATTCTCTGAGTTGTCTGCCAAAGTGCAGATGAATTGTAAACATGAAGAACATGTTAAGCCTATTCAAGCCCACAAAAAAAAAAAAAAATTAAAAAAATCAAGTCTTGCACAGTAAACTGCTATAATTTCCTGATGTAGGTCAAAACCCAGCAGGAAATCACATCGTCTATTTTTATCTCAGTTCACTGGAAGTGCTTTACCTTTCTGTTTTCTTGATAAGCACAGCCCTGAAGATTTGTTCCTGGGGAGTTTTCTCTTTTTCATCAGTTGGTTGCACGAAAGGGTGGACAGCAGCCAAGACGAAGCCCTGCTGGTACAATTCTTGCAGCTGAGCTGGAAGATCACGCAAGGAGGAGAGCTTGATTGCAGATGATCCTGGCAGCTCAGCTGGAAACAAAAAGAAATTGGTCAATAATCCTACACTGGACTATCATGTTTTTTAAAATCCAGGCTCTTCAGAGTCAAGCAAGCTTCACACTGTTCTACAATATTAAGACAAAAATTGACCTTTCCTGAGGCCCATTTTGTATTTCAGATTTTAACCAGGCTGCCTTGGCAAAGGACTTATATCACACAAGAGGCTGGTGCAATTAACAATTAGTCAGATACATTAAAATGCCAAATCCACTACATAGCCTGGCAGAGATAAAGTGGAGGATTTAATAAAAACAAGGCAGTCAGTCAAAAGATATTCTAAGTTTTAGTAGTCATCATAGTAATGCAAGTTGAGGAGAGCAAGCCATGCGTCAAAAATATAAAACAAGAGAAAGGGGATAGTCAGTGGAGGTAGAACATGTCAAATTCAAAAGCAATAAACAGAAGCATTCATCTACACAGAAGTTTTATTATCAGACTAAGAGATCACTGATGCAAAATTCTGTTGAGACATAATATCACCAATATGTGTAAGGAGTACCTTGTAGGTATACTGATAACAAGAATGCTAAGAGCAATGCATACCTGTAAAGATGAGAAACCTTTAGAACAGACACTAAACCTTATACCTCAGGATTTAAGCAAACCTATACATGTAAGAGATGAGGATGAGACCTAGTACATGATAATAATCCTTCCCCAATCTGCTTACTGGGGGGTTTTATGCCTTCCTGTGAAGCATCTGATGCTGACTCCTGTCAGACACTCAATATACACACACATACTGCAGTCAGTACAGCAGTTGCCCTTATTTCCTTGGAGTCTTGTGGGCTTCAGAAGAAAATCCCATAAATCACCTAAAACAACCTTCCATTCTCTTTCTCTCTATGTCAGTAATTCTTCGTATGTTTTTCATATCTCCTGGGAAAAGACACCTTTCTTTCCTGACCTTTGTCTCTTCATTTCCATCTCTCTTGGGGGTTATTTATTATTTCAACCCTAACCATGCTAGACAATATAGGGTGGTGAGATGCTGGATGGTTTCCCCTCCCACTGAAACCAATAGGGAGGGGATGTCGCAAGAAACACGACTGAGGTTCCCAGCACCTTGCAGGCCTTCATTAAAAAAAAGCACTGGAGAACAGTTTGTATGAAAGATGCCAGCTATGCAAAATAAGGTTTCATTGTACTGCTTTTTTCATCAAACTGTGTGGCTACCCTTTATGAATAATGAAAGAGGTTATCAAAAAACTAATAAATATTCAAAACCAATAATACAGAGGAATAATTTAAATAATAATAGAAAGCTGTGCTTGCTATGCTTTTTCTTCATATAAGACCATGTTCCAGAAGAGGATAATGGAACTTTTTGACCAAGAACTGTAAGATGCAGAATTTTTATTATTTTTGCAAATAAAATGAGAAATCCAAGCAATGTGTACATTGACTGACAACAGGGCTCTACCTTCTACAGCAGCATACAAATCACTTCAGTGTCATAAAAAGAGATGGCAAAATGAATAATGCATAATAAATAATAAAATTGCCTGTTACTTCCTGGACCCTACTGAGGATCAAAATGGGGAAACCCAGATGTTAGAACTACTTTTTCCCTCTTGTGGCTCAGAAACTCCAAAAATTTTAGACTATGCTGCAAATAATTTAATTAATTGAAAGAATATGAAAGCCAGAATACCTTTCTAAATGACAGTTTTACTTTAATAGAATGGAATGACTAAACACTATTCAGTAATGCTAATCCTGGTAATGGTGCTCCAATTTTTAACAATCATTATGAAAACTGATGCTTGCCTTGCATACGAACCTAGTAACTGGATTCTGCTGAGGATGCCTTGGTAAAACTAGTAGAAAGTCTAGTCATCAACATGGGAAGGTGATTGCTTCCTCCTAAAAGCTAAACATGAGGGGAAAGTATGAACGCACGTGTAACTGGAGCCTTGGGATGTACGCCTGATGATTAAAAAAGAAAGGTAATAGAAAATAGAGCTGGCAGGGATCATCCAACTAGTCCGTCCTATTACCTAGAGGCAGGATCAGGTCTAGTTTAGCTATTTCTCACAGTTTTTCTCATCTATTTTAAAAAACCTTTAGTAATGGAGATTCTACAAGGCCCATAAGTCATGTTTCAGTACTCCTCTGTTCTTACTATTCAAAACCCTTTCCTAGCACCTGGCCTAAATTTCCCTCTCTGAAATTCAAGATTGCTACTTCCTCATTAGAATATTTCTTTTCTGCATCAGTATTTTACAATTCCTAATACCTGTCACGCCTTAATCGTACCACTTCAGACTGTATAAACCCAGTACTTCTGATGTTTCCTATTCCCTTGTGTTTTCCAGATTTCTAAATATTTTTTGACAGTCCTCTCCTGATTCTCTTCAATTGGTCCACATCTTTCTTCAAGTATAGCACCTAAACCTCACCACTGTGATCCAGCACAAACATCATCTTTGAAGAATGGAAAAGCTCCTTCATGCTTATGATACATCCCCTATCAGTTCACATCATTTTGGGAAAAAAAAAATTAAATTCTTTTCCCCACAACTAACAGCGGCCAAATGTCCCTGCCTTTAGTGAATTTTAGGGTTTTTTCTTTCTGTTTTCAAGGGCCCTTCTGGATTCTGACCTCCACAGTGCAAAGAGCACTTCTCAGATTGGCAAACCTCAATAAATCATACTCAGAAGTCTTCTGCTGGACTAGTTATTGAAAACAGGGAATTTTAACAGACTCTGGACAGAACTATTTACAGTTAATACATCTTTTAGGTTTAATGCTGAACTACTGCTAATTTCTCCTTGGACTAGAAATCCTTCAAAAAGAAAAGACAGTTTCTGTTACACAACTGATGCCCACAAGGCCTACGTAAGTTTCCTGGGTCTACAGACCTGTGCTGTGCATTCTTGTTCCTCTCCCACAGACAGACTGGTTCGTGTGATGCAGATCCCTCCCTGCAAATCGCTGCTATTCATCATCCTCTGGATATTTTAGAAGTTATTTGTTCCAGCATCATTCTGGGCATTAAGTTAGGCTAACAATCATACAGTTCTCTTTAAAAGTAGGTCGAAAAAGGACATCGCACTTTCCTGGAGAGTCACATTCATCTTTCAACAGTCTTCAAACTTAAATGATAAGATTCCAATTATTTCTTCAGCTAACTCCTCTAAGGTGCATACCTGTAGGTTCAACGTACTTGAAAATGCCTAATTTATGAAACCAGTCACTGATCCAGTTTTTTTTTTTTACCTTAGAAAAATGCTAACATTTTCAGAAAACCTTACACTACTTCCAAGAAAACCCATTAAAACTTTTGGTTTAGTTCTTAACGTGAATTCTAATCACGCCACTTTTGAAAGAAAAAGTAAAACCAAAATTATGTACAACAGGGATTTGCATAAGGTAAATGAGCAAATGAAAGACCAATTAAAAACTTGTATAACTCCAGTGCTTATTATAACCCTTTGTTTTGCCAAAACACAAAGCTGAGTTCTTTTAGCAGACTCCATGTTGCTCTTGAAATGCACCTAGCTCTAAGTGTTATATTCAGCTCCATGTTTCCTAATTTATTGTTGCACTACACAACCTGACCTCAAAAGATTCCTTTGTTTATTCTATCTACATGTAGACGAGTGTGTAAGAAACTTGTAAATGACAGATGCTGTGTAATTTTGCTAAGGCTGAAAGTGGAAATAGAAGCGCTGACTGCTTTTGGAACTGATTACAAGGCAAATTAGTTTGTTGCCTGACTGATAACTGAAGCTGAGAACACTTCCAGCAATGCTCATATACATACAGAAAACTAGAGCTTAGAGATCCTTCAAAAGAAAAGAAAGTTTGTATTATGCAACTGATATCCATAGGTGACTTTCCTGGATCCAGAGACTCGTGCATTGTTTGCTGCTAATAGAAAAACCTGACCAAACACACACGCTGTCCCCATCTTGCCGCAGAAAAAAACAATGAAATGATTGAGTTGACATAAAAATCTACGGGTTGAGTCACATATATTTGAAAGGAGTCATCTCTGCAGTTCCAAAAAACAATTTATGGGAAACAGAGGAAGGTGGTACAGTCTGACACAGGGATCCTGAGGGACTGAGAGCAGACTGAGAAATACGGCTGGGAGACAATTAAATACTTTATTTAAAAGGACAGGCATACAGTTCTACTCTAAATTTCTATTATCCTGTGTAGGTGTTTACTTAACTTGTTTACTCCAACAAAAGAAACTAACTGTTGGGATTTTTTGGTCTTCATTTTTTAACATGTTTTCCTGATTAAGCTTTTACGCTCTTATTCCAGTCACAGCTGTTAAAGACTGATGAAGCCCTTAATGACAGTTCACACTACACATGAAAAGGTTCCACAAAAATATTGGACTCCTTTTAACTAGTTTCTGTTCCCTTTTAAAATTTTCACATTCATCTGCATTTTCAAAGTAATGTTCCTCAATTTATTATGAAACATTAACTAAGCCTTTTTCCTTGGCATTAAAACAAAGATCAAATCGGTGGGTACATAGATCGTACACACTCTCTGTCTATACTGAGTACAGAAGAAAGCACTTTGCACCAATACATGCCCAAAATGTGGTGTATAACGGGGTTTGAAAGAAGAAAAGGAAGACTGGCAAACTCGGTGGACCCACACAACTAAGTGATGCAGAGACTGAGTTCCCTGGTAGCTGCAAGCACACTACTGCTATTTCATAGAATAGTTTGGGTTGGAAGGGACCTTTAAAGGTCCTGCAATGAGCAGGGACATCTTCAACTAGATCAGCATGCTCAGAGCCCCATCCAACCTGGCCTTGAATGTTTCCAGGCATGGGGCACCTACCACCTCTGCAGGCAACCTGCTTCAGTGTTTCACCATCCTCATCACAAAAAAATTCCTTCCTTATGTCCAATCTAAATCTATCCTCTTTCAGTTTAAAACCAGTACTCCTTGCCGTATCACAACAGGCCCTATTAAAATGTCTGTCCCCGTCTTTCTT